TGTTTTGTCAGAGTCCCTGCGGACGAGAAAACAAGCGAGAGACAATGTTTACTGTTAATATTAAATGATTTAACATGAGAGGAAGTGACAAACATGACACATTTAGGAGCCACTGTGGAGACGGGACAGACTATACAATATTATCTCTGTCTTGATAATTCACCTTCTTTCCTCATGATTGAACTGTGTCACAAATGTCAAGTCGGTGAACCTGGAGAGTGTTCCCCGGGATAAACAATAGTTGGTACTAACCAGCCTTCCTTCCACACCAACTGTGTTGATAGTGACTCATGTTACTATACCAGAACAAATCCAAATCATCTGCCCACTGACCATCTGGGTTTCTCTCTTTCTCTCTACTTCAACACTTGGTGGATGGCCCATTTTTAAAGAATCAGTTACGTTCTTCAGGATCTTTAGTGCTAATTTTCCACTTGCATGGTTTTTTATTCCTCCTTAACATCGTACAAAACAACAAAACAACAAACTAAATCTAAATGTGAGAACCGACTACAGCAGCTTTGTTTCACCGTCTCAAGCGGAAGACAACAACAGTTTAGGTTTAGAGAAGTACAAATCCCAGAAGAACAACATGAAAATAAATCAGCTGGGAAGTTTGTGGAGAGACGTGACTCTAAGTGGCCTCCTGTCGGAGCAGCTCAAAATACCGAGGAAGCAATTAAACTTGGGTGCTGAATAGAGATCCCACATCATTCCTCGCTCAGTAGTAATGGTCTAATCTTTGAGGCACCGCACCGTCATTCTAAAACGCCGTCAGGGCAAAGGAGAAGACAGACTAACATCTAAGGAAAGAGGATCTATTTTGGGAAAGGCAGGAGAGGCAGATGTGTTGAATGTTATATTGTTTAACCTGCCAAGTTAAAGGTGTTTGGAAGCAACAGAGCGCATGGGTTTGTAAAATTCAGGAGGATGTGAAAGGTTTTTTATGAGAAAGTGAGGTTCAGACGTATCCAACAGTTGAACACACTGGAGCAACCCTGTCTCTTAGGAATTATGGAAACATCATTTCTGCTTTCACGCTGTGGCTCGTGCTTCAAGTCACTTTTGACAATTTAAATATTCAACCAAGACCACAATCTTTCCCTAATCTTAATAGAGTGTTTTGAGTGGCTAAACATACCATTTAATAAAAACTCTACCAATAGAGAGTGCTGTTTCGGGGACTGTTCTGACCCAACAACAATTAAGATTGCAGGAAACACTAATGGCTATTTTCAGTTAATTTCTTCATCATGATAATGGCACAAAACATTAGTTCACAAATGACATTACTGTTGTCCAGCACAAATGTTTCGGCATAGATTTCAATATGCCAAACGTCCCATTTCAAATCTAAAATTATCTGAAGATGACGGTGCAAACACTGAAACACGCGCAGCAGGAGAACCAGCAACTCTGCATTTGTGCTTTTTAATATTTATCTCGGAGCAGTGCCAGAGCCAGCTGCTCTTTACTGGACTGAGCTGGCTCACACATATACACACATACACACATGTGTGTATGTGTGTGTGATTTAAATAGACAGTGTGTTTTCTGCTTGACTGATCAGAGGAAACTGGATCAGTGCTTCTTCCTCTGCATTCCCCCAGCGAAGGTTGATCCACATACTTATGCCTCGCGAATGAGCGTGTGCGCTAATGAACTGTGTGTGTGTGTGTGTGTGTGTGTGTAGGCTTATTTGAGTGACTCTGAGTGTGGAGTGGGATAGTCACCCCTGGGCTGCTCCATGATGTACTAGTGTTTGATTCGCAACAAATACAATGATGATCCAACTCCCTTGATATATCTCTGTACTTTAGTGGATTCTCAAAAGGACTTGTAAAGCATAAAACACACACACTCAGAAATGCTGCAAAACATTGCCTACATGTCTTATTATTAGGGATGTAACAATTCACTCAAAGAATACACGGTAGTAGGTTGATGCACGGTAAGTGGAATCAAAGTTCACAAGCGCACGCTCCGTCTGGACACATTTAGCCGTACGCTGTTCGCAACATATGCAGAGGTTAGCGCAACAAGCTGATAAGTCAAACTTAGCGAAGGTAGAACAAACTGAAACACTCCTCGTAATACACAAAGTTATATTTTGTATTTTCAATTTCATAGCATAAGAAAAAAAAAATAGTTTAGAAGCCTATTGTAGCCTTTTGGGAAAGTGTTTGTTAGGTTTCCGTGCAGTGTAATACAAAAGTGTTTGAAATGTCCCTTATTTTCATGATGACAATAGTTGGCCTAAGTTGCCAGTGGGCAAAATGCTAGCTCAGTCCTCAGAAAAAGGATTTTGAAGAAGAAGATGCATTGTGATTTCAAACAATAGAAGAATGAGAAGGAGATAATGAAGGAAAAGGATGCTAACGAGATGCAGCAATACCCCACTTCAACAGAATGATCAAAAAAAGGAAGAGCGTGCTGCCCACCAAAGTAAAAGAGGGGGGGAGGAGAGAGAGTAAATAAGAAAGAAACAGGGATGGGGAGGTAAAGGGAGGCAGACATATAGAAGGTGAATGAGTGAAAGCCAGAGAAGAAGGCGAAAGAGGCTGAAACGTGTGACGGATAAATGACTGGAGGCTTCCAATCACACAGACAGAGAGATTAGTCCCGATGACCCACTTAGCAGGAGACAGACAAAAATGTCTTTTAATTTACACTTATGAAGTCTGGGCGTGATGATGTTGATGGCCTTATGAAAGGCTGTATTAAACACAGGAAGTAGTCTGGGCCTGTACAGAGTCCTGCAGCTTGTTAAATGCTGGTAATAGTAGTATTGATTTTCCTTTAAGCCCTTTTTGATTCCTGCCCATGGGGCCTTTTTTTCCCAGTATAATTATTTGTATAATTATTCATAAGGAATATGGTAATGTTATTGTTAAAATGCTACACATACCACCCCTTACGCAATCAACTCTGGGTTGTGAATTCTTCAAATTTAAAATTTCAACAGCAAAGTCAGGTCCCACTGTAACCTGAGAGGAGTGACCTGAGTTGACCCCATCCACACGGCACACTTTTAAATTAATGAAAGACTCATTCAAAAATAAATTAAACCATCAATCACTTCAATCATCCTTTAATGACACAGGCGGGTGATTTTTGGCAGGCAGAGGGGGGAGAGTGGAGAAAGGATGAGCTTGTAAAACACAGGGTTTTCGCCTAATTGTGTTCCAGTAGAATGCAGTGAATGAACAATGTTTATTCAAATGAATAAAAGCCAGATCCAGAGAGCTGCTTTTTAAACAACACTCATTCAACTCAAATTTGTGTTCTGTTCATCATCAGATTTCCATAACCCTTTAACAAAACATATATAATGTATAACGTTGGAGAAATCAGACTTCTGAGGCAGAGTAAGCAGACTTAAAGACACTAGAGTTAAACAACCAGCTCAATTTTTGATCATCTGTATACCGCGTGATATTTCAGGGTTTTGTCGAGCCATTTTATGGAAAATTTACGCTTTCAAATCTTCATAGTATGCACAATATAAAAGAAAATGGGACGCACACACAGCTCAATCGGTTTACCCCCTGAATGGGTTTTAATCTGCCCACATCAACAGCTTGAGGGAGAATACCAGTGTCAACTGTGCTGCTAACGCTTTTTGGCTTCTATAAAAGCTAAATATAGAACATGTGATTCAGGGCCACACTTTTGTTAAATAGGTAGTGGGTGAGCACTAAGATCTTTTACGTAAGTAAAAGTACAAGTACCACAATGATAAAATACTCCATTACAAGTAAAAGTCCTTCATTCTACTTGAGAAAAAACTGAATAGCAGCAAATCAATTTAAAGCATCAACAGTAAAAAGGACTCACTATGAAAAATGGCGTGTTAATAAAGTGTTATTTATCGGATTTGTATATTTGGAATATCATTTCCCATCAATGAGAGCAATGTAAAACTTTATATACTATTGGCATATTGAACTGATCATATCAAGTGACCATAGCGATTAAATAAATGCGGTGGAGTAAAAACATACGTCCTTGAAACAAAGTATTTTAAAACCATATTTGTTCAAACTTGAATAAAAACCTAGTTTTTCTTTTTCTTTTTTTTTGCCTGAGGAAATACATCAAACTCTGCTTCCCACACTGCAGTCACTACTGACATTTCACACACACACACACACACACACATGCCCACACACATGCAGTACATGTGAGCCAGTAGTGCATGAAATAGCAACACAACGCTGACATAATCAAGGAATGACTCATATTGCACACACATGAGGGTTTTACGCCTCCAGTAATTATTTCCCTTTGTGAAGTCAGGGCTCTCTGATTTACAATTTGCTCCATATGCAGTAAACTCAACACAGCACTGCAATGTGTGTGGGGGGGGGGACTAACATTTCCACCTCATAGCATCCTCTCACTCCCTTTGCTTTGACATTTTTCAAGAGAATTTACAGTAGTTTGCACAATTTGAAATAGCCAACACAAATATGAATGCACATAAGATGAGGAAGCAGTTGGTTTGAAGGCATGTATGTCGGTAGCTATAATAACTAACAAATTACTAACTATAACAACATATAACATAGCAACAGTTAAAAATCAAGATTTATGATTGACACATCAGGCAATAAACAGTGTGTTCGTGTAGGTGTATTTCTGCATACAAATGTCCCTGGCAGTGTGTGTGTAGCCTAAGTGTGTGTGCATGAGAGAGAGAGAGAGAGAGAGAGAGAGAGAGAGAGAGAGAGAGAGAGAGAGAGAGAGAGAGAGATACTGTGTGCAATAGTGTGTGTAAGCCTTTGGGAATGGACTTCAGCCAATTCACAGTTGTGGCTTTAAAAGCCATTTAGGCCTGTTGGCTTATAATGTTTATGAGACAGAGAGAGAGGGAAAGAGAGAGTGCGTGCGTGCGTGCGTGTGTGTGTGTGTGTGTGTGTGCGTGCGTGTGTGTGTGTGCGTGCGTGTGTGTGTGTGTGTGTGTGTGTGTGTGTGTGTGTGTGTGTGTGTTCGCTCACCTTGTGTTGTTTCCACATCATGGGCAGCGTTTTGACGTCGTGTTTGGCGTGTTTCCCCTCCTCCAAACACTTCATACACACCGGAACCTTGCAGCTGTAGCAGTACATGCTGAAGTTTTCCGCTTCGTGGTCCACGCAGGTCGCCGGTTTCCGCGCGGTAGCGGGCGGCAGCGGACCGCCGCTGCCTCCTCCGCTTGCCGCACCTCCTCCCGCCGCTCGGTTCGGCGGCGGCACCAAGCGGTGCTTGGCGAGCGGACCGCGGGACGGGTGGCATCGCTGCTGGCAGGCGTGACAGTAGTAGACGTCGCACTGCTCGCACATAACCGTTGCGTCCACCGGGTTGCGGTCGCACAGCTGGCACTTCACCGCTGTAGAAGATGAAGAAGAAGAAGAAGAAGAAGAAGAAGAAGAAGAAGAAGAAGAAGAAGAAGAAGAGGAGGAAGAGGAGGCGGAGGAGCGGCGGTTCTGCTGGTACCGCGTCACGATGGCCTCGAGCAGCCGGTTCCGAGGGAAACCCCGGAGCCCCCGTTCATCCAGGGAGACGCTCCGGTGGCACAGCGGGCAGGTGAGGGAGCAGTGTCGGTGGTGGTTGGCCGGTGGAAACACCCGCACCCCGTTTGGAGACTTGAGCTGGCACGGCGTGTAGGAGCCGTATCCGCTGTCCGTCTCGCTGTACAGGCTCATCTTGTCCATGTCCAGGTAGTCGTAGTCAGAGCTGCCCGAGGCTCGGCTCTGCACCGGGGTCTCCCCCTCCGGGGTCTGGACGGTGATGTTCCGAGCACAGGCCAGGCAGACATTGTGTGAGCACGGCAGGAGGATGGGGTCCTTGAAGAGAGAACCGCAAACGGGGCATTTTAACTCTTCCTCCATCGCTCCCGTCTGTTTCGGTGGACCGGGGGAGGGAGAAGCAGCTTCAATGAAAACACTCCAGCACCGACTGACACGGACAGCTCCCTAAGCGGCTCTGCGCATGCGCAAAGGGGGCGGGGATTGTGGTTTGAGTTGATTGATCGAGTTAATTTATTGGCTCTGAATCACTACAGATCTCCTGATTGTCATGGTTATTACGTATTTTGTCTTTTATTATAATCATCATTATTGTATATTAAAGTATATTATTTTTGTACGATTGTAATTGTCTGAATTTATTTATCTCAATGCAGTCCCTGATTTCTTTAAATCCTGGTTCAACCATGTAAACCACTTTGTGCTGTCAATAAAGGTTATTATGGAGATTTAAAAAAAATCTAAGAAACATGAACAGTGAACATTAAAGAAAATCATCATATATCTTGTGTACTTTGTGATTTAATGTTTATGTTTATGCTCAACATTTTACACATATTCTTTCTTTCTTTCTTAAAAAATACAGGATTTGAAGTACAATAACATTGGTAATTGTTGTACTTCATAAAAACAAGTACTCCTTGACTTAGTTACAAGTACTAATACCACGGTGTAAAAATACAAAAAAATTGGATGGTTTAATCTAGATTCTAGAACAATGCATCACACTTAATAAACTGACCATATGTTTTGAATTCAAAAATAAAATGTGCAAAGTAACTATTACTATAGTCATATAGTCACTTTTATGGACTAAAAGTATACCACTACGAAGTAGTATCAGATTCAAATTAGGTAACTTATGTGCAGTACTTCTTCCCCACTGTAGGTCTGTTTACAACTCCTACAGCCTGTTAACTATTAATCAAAAATAAGATTTAGATTTATGTTAGTCAAGTCCTTTATCTAAAACTACCACATACAGATAAAACAAACAAACACAAAACTGTGAATATTAACGAATGAATGTTGAGATCCTGGATACCAGAGAAGACACATGTTCAGACTGTATGGGGATTGTATGTCTGTTCGATCCTGTAACCTTCTGTGTTGTGTGACATTAGCTTTCTGTGTTAGCTAAATGTTGAATTGACCAGACAGCAGCCGTGACTGAAGTCCCTCAGGGTGCTGCATTAATGCCATCCACTGGACAGCTCTTGCATCCCTGTTAGCGTTCCATTAGGATTCAGATCTGTTCTGGGGTGAAATGAACACACACTTTTAAAAGGATATACACGCACTCATGCAATTACTTTCTTCACCTAATTTAACCTTTAACCACAATCTAAGACACTTTTACAAGTTAGAACTGCGTTTCTTTTTGTTTCAGTCATTTTGAGGACATTTACTCATATAAATATTACAAGACAGGCTTCAAATCACAGGAGCTTGTGTGAAAGCTGGAGAAGCTTGAGTTAAATTGTCACTTTGACAGTAATGTAGAAGTCATTGTAAGACAATCCTGAAGAAAATTCAAATGTCGAACAGCACTATCCCCTTAAAATTACAGTAAAGGAAGAGTTAGTTTGGGTTATTTTAAGACTGCATTTTTAAAATATAAATTTCGGCTACATTTTCTGTACTTTTTCCCATTTCATGTCAAAAGTGTAGTTTGTGAATTTACCACCAGGGATCAATAAGTTATTGTATAATAATAACGTATAATAATACTTTATAATTCATTTGTTGATTCTATTTTGTGTTATTCATCTAAATCTGCATGGTAAAGTTACAGTATTTTCCTATGAATGAATGAATTAGAAGGAATAGAAGTAGATAATAGTAGTCGTAATGTCGTAATGTTTGGTAATCCTCTCTGAAAGAGGCTTGAGATCCTGCATGAACAGGGGTCTGTTCAATAGAGCGAGTTTACCAAAAAAGCCCGGCTTATTTTGGTAAGCCTGACTCCGCATAGCTGTGAAGTTGCAATTTAATTAAATTTTAAGTGGTAAGAGCGAAGCTCAACCAAGTTAAAATGTTGCACATGTTTCTACACAGTCCAAAAAATTCGTCATGACTTGTATGACAAAGATGTTGTCCAAAAATTAGCACACATAGTAGAGAATTTCAGCACGGCGGCAACCAAAGTCTCTCTACCAGAGGGACAGATTTCAAACCATGCTATTCCTGTCTTCAGCCAGTATAAGATGAGTTCTCACAGGGAGAGAAGCTCTTTCTCGCTGTGTTCCTTGGAAAGCTGCTGGACCACATCCCTTACTCCACCAAGACAGCAGTGCTGGACTTGGACTTCGATGTAATTTTAAAGAACCTGAAGACGACTTTGGGAGACACAAGTTTCACCCTCCCACAGACTGTTGGAAACCTCCAGCATGCCATCTTCAAGAAGCTTTGTCAGGAGTTTGGCTCATCATTATCGACAAAACAGCTGCAGGCTGCGATGGTGCCTGAAGGCATTGAGTTTGAGGAGGCGGTTGCCAGGGAATTAAAAGGGCTCTGCAGAAGGCTACACAAAAACATCTCAGCTTTTGGAAAAAGGTGAGGAAGGTTTTTCAGAAGAAGAAGCAGCAAAGTAGCTCCAGCCTCTGAAGTCGACACATCAGTGCCCCACAGGGAAGTGGCCCACCTGGAGAATGGATCATCACCACTGCACCAAAAGAAACAGCTTGCGTTTTATCTCTACTCTGTTGAAGAACAGAGCTATGTCCTAAAATTGCCACTTGGCTGATATAGTTAATGAAACATCCAATTTTTAAGAGTAAGGGCGCGACGGTGGCCTCACAGGAAGAAAGTCGAGGATTCAGTTTGAGGCCTGTGAAGTTTGCATGTCCTTCCCATGTTGACGTTGACGTGTTTACCCTGGGTGCTCCAGTTTCCTCCCACATTCCAAAGATATGCAGCTCAATTGGAAATTTGAAAATGCCCATATACTGCATCTTGTCTGAGCTTTAATAAATGCCGATAATACAATCCTGATAAATCTAATCAATAGTTGTGACATGTCTTTTTGAGTATATCAGTACTTAGTAACTTTACACCAGTGTTTAAAAATGTAGAAAAGCAAGAGATAACTACACGTTTGTTTTCTGTAAATGTTACTATATTGTAAGTAAAGCACTCTGGATAATTTGTAATTTAGCCAGTAATCAGTAGTGAGTTTCACACTCATAAAAGCATTTATTGGAGCGCAAATGTGTCATTATCTTTTTTCACAAACAATATATGTATCACTATTTGACTAGAAGAATATACCCCCAACAGCTTGTATCAAACATCTCCCAAGGCTGGAAACAACCATCTAAACAATTAGACATGTTTTTATCCAGGTGAAAGAGGAACTGGATGAAGATGCTGAGATGAAGAATCCAAAGACAGCACCTTCACTACAGCCTGTGAAGAATCAAACTAGCATCTGTTGATCACGTGAAACATTCCCTGTGTATTCCTGCTGTGTGTTGATTGAATCAATTCCTCTCCAATAATCCCACCATGCCTGATGCTTCTTCTCTGAGGATAAGCTGATAACTTCACCCGACGCGAGGCTTTCCTCGAGCTCACAATCACATCGGAGATTATAATGAGATGAGCTGTGAAGCAGAGAGAACAATCGTGTTGAATCATGAACGGAGTCTAAAAATATCAGAGTCTGCCAGCGTGGCAGCCTGGCGCTCCTGGGAAATACTTTATACAGAGAGAGCAGCAATTTTATTTTCATGTTGCAACTACACAAGCCAAATTCGTTTATCTGCAGGAACAACTGCAAGGCAGATATGTCAAATGATTACATTTGGAATTTTCTGGTAAAACAGGACGTTGAATGCACAGATTTTTGGTCACACTTTACAACAGGGAAATAACCAAAACTATGGATTTTAGGATGTTTCCAAGGAAACAGTTTAACACTAGAACTATAAACATTTTTTACAAAACATAACCAACATTAGATTATTAGTTATTTTCAGTAAAAAAAAAAGGATGATGAAAGATTTCCTGAACATCATAACTTAAATCAGTTATCATATTCAAAATGACCTGATTCTGAGCTGCCACAAGGGGGCACCACTAAACAAGGATCAAGAAATAAATTGTATTATTTCACTATCTAAACTGCAGTGCTTATATTTTGTACAGTCACTGAAACATACAATGGGCTGAAATGTAACAGGTAAAGCAGACGCTTCAGTCTTTCTCTGTATCTATTCAAGATTTGATGATTTTAGTTTTCTTGATTTTTTTTCATTCATCAGTACCCAAATTGTCTGGGCCCCCTGTAAGCGTCCAGTGCCTTTAGGGTGCAACGATAAAAGCAAAACGTGGAGACATTTTGATTCAAAGTATGACATTTTGACTTGTCACAGCAGGGACAGCACAGGTGAAACTAATAGCTAATTTGCTGGAAGGGATTCCTGATACCCTGTATCATCACCATCATTAGTGTTATTTATTCCACCTGTGCTTTGCCTGCTATGACAAGTCAGAAGAGCTGCTGTGAATAAAGGTCTATCAATGTGATTCATTTGGGATCGATACATTTAAAAAAAGGAATTTTTGGTGCAGATAGATTCGGATAGACTAACATGTAAAAGTGCCGAATCAACTTTTGTCATGGAAGAAAGGAAAAAGTGGGGATGTTTTTCAAGCAAGCGCATCAGACAAACTCACAGCTTGCTCTCCAGCAAGAGAGCCTTGCTTCTGTTTGGGCAAGGTTTAACTTTTCACAGAAGCAACAGCACGACAGAAACGATGAGAGATGTGGGGGAAGAAACACGCAGTTCATGTATATGATGATATGTTAAAAAGTTATACTTGGCTCCTCTAGTTACTGCTAGTCTCCTCAATATTGTTCACAGCTTTATGAATAAAAGAGGGCTGTGGCTTGACAAAAAACGTTTTGATTAATGTGACCATTGGTCCTCTCTTGGCCTTTCTTTGTTGTGGTGCCATATTCCTTCCAATTTCTAGTGGTGGATTTAAAGGTGCTCTATCAGATCCTGTGACACTTAGATTGCACACAGGTGGACTTTATTTGACAAATTATGTGACCTCTAGAGGTAATTGGTAGCACCAGATCTTATTTATTGTTTTATATTTATTGAACTATTTGTACATTACATTAAATCCAAATTGATAAAATCAATAATAATGCAACAAAATAGGAAAAACACCAAGGGGGGGGGGTGAATACTTTTGCGAGGCACTGTTTACAGCAGGAACACAGACGTTGAGGCACAATTCTCCTCAGCAACAATCTGGAAACACGTGAAAACATAGATTGTGCATGAAGATCTTTATTTAATTTCATGTGCTTTTCTTCAACACAAACGGTCAACATTTACCAGTGTATCTTCCTTTCAGTCATCCCTTTTAAATCAGTCCTAAGCTAGAATACTATTTAGTGTCTAATAACGGTCCAGTATAGCGTCAAAATCACTGCTGAGTGAGTTTGAATCAAACATTATATATTACTTAAAAACTTTCAAACAGCATTCTTGTTAATGGCGAGTACATGCATGATGCATTAAGATGATATTTTTGCCAATAGACAGAACTGGGTATCACATGCACAAAACTCAAACTGCAGAAAATTAACATATTCATCAGCTGCTTGTCTGAAAATGTGTCCTGATGAGCCATGTATTCATTGCACGATTATACAAATGTGTGCACTTGGCTACCAGCACACACTCCGACATGAAAACACACTTCGATGTGCCAAATCTGTCGATGAGGGATTTTCCACTGACAAACGGAACATTTCAAATGGCTCATTTCTCAAAGATCTGATCATTTTTTCATCAACATTCGCCAACATCAACAGGCAGTTTTGTGAGTGTTGGTACAAATATCTTCGTACACGTACCTCTCTTGGGGTATCGTATTCTGCATTCTGTCATTTCTTGTCCTGCGATCTCAAAACAACCGACTTGTAGCATCTAGTCATTCCTAAAATAATTGCCACAACAGTCAGTTAAAAAGAGCGTTTGAGTGTTTTTTCGGCCACCGTCCTTTATTGCGATCTCACACCATAGATGTGGTGCTCTCTGGATTGATCCGAACGGGTCTGGTGCTCTTCCTCAGGTCCTGCAGCTGTTTGGCGGGCTTGCCCACGCCCTCCTCAAACCTCCGCTCCACCACCGGCAACACGGTGTCGTGGAGGAAGCTGGCGTTCTGCATGATGAAGGCCTTCTTCTCCGGGTCCTGCTCACAGCGCAGGCTGTAGTCCACGTGCTGCACGGCCACCAGGATGATCTCCCTCAGGCCCTCCAGCAGCACCATGTGCAGCTCGGGGAAGTAGAGCTTCAGGCCTTCCTCCAAGAAGCTCATCATCTGCTTCGTGAAGGCCACGATGGTGTAGCTCAGGTTCACCCAGCAGTCATCGCCGGTGTACTGCTCGAAGCTGCCAATGCCACAGCTGCGCATCTCGTCCTGCGGAGAAAAAGATTGATATTGTTAACAGTGATTTAACAAATACTTTAGTCATGGACGTCATTGACACCAAGGAAATTGTACCAAAACAAAGATTATTTTCATTTTACATGAATTTTTCATGTATCGATCAGTGTTTGGTTCATAAACTGACTGATAATATTGAAAAATAACCATAAAAATGTCCCAAAGTCCAAAATTGCAACTTTAAATGTCGTGTTTTGTCCATCCGACAGTCAAAAACCCAAATATATTTAGTTTACAGTCATATAAAAAGTATTAAGGCAGCAAATCCTCACACCAGAGAAGCTGGAAATTCTCTGCCCATCAACTCAACAATTGAGTTGATGGGCCCCGAGCTCCATCATCCACATCACCACTGACAGCCAACAGACCAAACAGAGAGAGCGACATAAAACCCACCTTGAGTTTAGCCAGAGCCTCGGGGGTCATGAGATTCATCCTCCTCCACATCTCCTCAGAGTTCCGGTGCTTGGTGGCTTCGATGATGATGTCGTTGTAGCTCTGCAGGGACGCCTTGATGTCTTTGACCAGCAGGGACTGCAGGGTGAAGGTCAGGTCCAGGCCGATGTCAGTCAGCTGCTGACAATGCTCCTTGGCCACTTTAACACACTCGGCCGCTGTCGACAGGCTCTCCTTACTGTCAAACACCTGATGAAGACAAACATGAATCCCTTTATAAAAGGATATTTTTCTGCAATTTCATAAGAATAAATAGACTTGCAGATCAGTTGTGTTTTTATATGATTTTTAAGACGATAGCAATACTTTCGTCTTGATTTTTTGTAGATTTTACTTTTTCTATCACATTTATCGGTACCAAAGCATCTTTCCTGACCTTTAAAGTCCCATATTTACCAGGATGTAACTTGGCCGTCTCCTCCTCTACCTACCTGCTTGCTGAAGGCGTCCACAAACATCATCATGGCTGATTTGGACCAGACCACGAAGGCGGAGTAGCAGCCCGTGTTCCCCGCAAAGTCCATCTCAAACTCCTTGGCCGTCTCCAGCAAGCTGGTGAAGAAGATGTTGCAGAGTTTGTGGATGTAGAGCAGCGTGGCTCCTTCTATGCGGAGCTGCCGTATGGCCGTCTGGACTGCGGCAGCGCGGTTCTTCAGGAACAACTCGCAGGCCTTGGTGGACTGGCCTGCAACACAGTCGAAAACAATTCAGATTGGAATAACTAGCAGTGTGGGGAAGGCTGATAGAACATTAGGAACACATGTTAGGGAGATACATTTCTTAGAAAATACATCTGAAAAGTTAAACAAATAAATATGTGAAATTTTGTGATTTCTTTTAAATACTTAGAAAATGGTTCAGGGTTCTGCTGGGACAATGTGAACCAACTAGCTCAGTATTTATACTCTCCTGTCCCTGTCCAATGTATATCTCTGCAGTTTTATTAATATTCAGATCATTTGTAGTTTTCTGCCTCTGTCAGAATGTTCTCAAGCTGCAATTTTGAGTATATGCTTTACTAGTATTATTTTGAGTTTGATAAACCTTGTCTAAATAATTATGTTCTACACTTTCTGCACAGGGATCATAAAAACATCTCTCCTCTAAACTCTACTGGGAATATTGTCTGCACCAAAGCATGATATCAAATATCCAGAATCATCAGAACCTAAGTGATGATTGGTTTGAAGATGCGATAGTAAACTACATATATTGTATATGATGTGCAAGTTGCCTATTGATGAAGACAAAAGACAAAGTTGGACCTAGTCGGATCAGCTGGGACACGGCCCGCCGCGTGGCTTTGGGTCCACCACGAAGTGACCGATCCGGAGACAACTCGAACACCAGAACCTCTGTCAGCTGCCGCACACGCTCGTCCACCTTCAGCCTCAGCTCCTTGACCCTCTGGGTGACCGGCTGGTCTTTGAGGTACTCGTTGAGCTTGTCCAGCAGGTCCACAGCACCCTCGAAGTCTCTCTGGGCGATGCACACGTCCAGATCTTCCGGCAGCTCCTGGATCCACTCGGGGCTGAGGTCCACACTTTCCCCGGGGCCTGCTGGCTCGTCGTCCTCCTGATCGAAGGGATTGGTGGACACCTCGGCCCTTACGGGAGACGTAGGGGCCTCCTCCTCCATCTTGTGCCGATCCTTGTTGACTTTGTTCTTCTTGGTTTCGTCCAGGATCTCCAGCCACTCCTTCTTGATTTTGCTGTTCTCCGCCTGGAAGATGCGGCTCTCTGGGAACATGAGGATCTTGAACATGTCCTTCATGGGAGGGTTGTCCTTCACGTTGACCACGGCGAAGCTCTCCAGGTCGTACAGGGCGTTGTACTTGTACTTCACGGTTCCTCTGCGGTTCGGTAGCCAGGTGGCGATCAACAGACAGTCGTTCATGAGGAAAGCGTGCACCTTCTGGATGGGGGACATGTTGTCGACATCAAACTCCACAAGGTCCCCGTTGTAGACCAGGTGCCTCCCTGGGGTGTCCATGATGTTTTTGCCCCCCTCCACTTTCTCCAGCAGTGAGGTCAGCGTCCTCTGCTTCAGCTCCTCCGTGTCTTTGGGGAAAGCAGCCTGCATCTCTTTGGAGGTCTCGTCCTTGTCTGCGGACAACAAGGCCTGGGTGATGCTCTCCATGATGCTCTTCTGCTCCGTCAGGATGTGACTCAGCTGGTACATCTCGCTCTCCAGGTAGGAGATCTCTTTGGCCGTCTCGATGAACTGTCTGTAGTTCTTGTAGACATTTTTCTTCAGGTTTTGAGCCGTTTCGTCGGCCAAGTTTTGGATTTTCTGACGATGCTCCTGCAGATCTCTGTCGCCATCGGACTGCTGTGACAGCTGCTTGACGTAATTCTGCGGGTCGAAATTAGGCGATTCGAGCAGCTTCCGTAGTCGGTTCCCCGTTTCCGACATCTTCTATCGAGTGTGTTTACTTATTTAGACAAAATGTTGAAAAACTAGTAACACAAGTAGACAGGGGAAGCGTTCATCTGTTCACATCCGCTTTCAACCCAAACAGGAAGTTATAACCGGTTACCTCCCTGTAACGTCACGGGATTCAGAAAAAGAAATGGCCAACAAATCGCACCAACACAAACATTTTTAAATTACATGTCGGTCATTCATAGAAGTCAAAATCGTTACAGAATTGCAGCACTTTAAACTTAAACTAAATATAATACTTGACATGTTGATAATTCCCCCTGATTTAACCACCAAAGTGCAATAGAAAAACTAGAGTGCATTTTAGATTGGCCAACCACTTGAAATAAAGTAGAATTCCCACAATCCATTGCTAGGATTTGAAACAAGCGAATGTTTCGTCAAGTTTGCAAGAGTCACTCAAATCTAGAGCTGGAAATGAGTTTCATAATAAGAGCACATATTATATCGATTTAGATTTTAAAGCATGATTCGTGTATTCTACAGAGTAACTAACAATATAATAAATTAAAATAGGTGTCCTATAACATTTAAACTAAACATTTTTAAAAAACATCTGTATTAACCATACACTTCTCCTGTGAAAATAGATGCCATCAGTTGTTTATTTCAGAAGTTTTATTTTGAAAACCTTAACGGATGTTCTTTGGTTGCATTGTGATAGACTTGACAACTGTTGGCGCTAGCTGTGGACTGTCAGTCAGCAGTAACAACACCTTTGTCCAACATGAAGAAATGCGTGTTTTTAATGGAATCATGTCACAAATTGTAGTATTGGTACAGTTGGTATATTTATCCGACTGTATACTGGCTCCAGTGCTTCCGTCACTTGTTTGTGAGAGCCCTGTACAAGCTACGTTAGCTAGTTAGCTTTAGCAAGCTAACATAAACGTTAGCCGAAGCTACGTGGCTAGCTACTTCAGCTCACATCACCTTATTAGTGCTTCTGTTGTGATGGATGATGATTTTCTGCTCGCCATTCGGCTTCAGGAGCAGTTTGACAATGAATACGAAACATCATCGCATTCATCAAACAGCTTTGAGGAGAATGGCTTCGGACACAGTAGTAAGAAACGGAGAGTGGAGGTCGCTAGAGGTGGCAGCGATGTTGTTCCCTACTGGAAGCCGACTGCCCAGCCCGAGAGGCCGCTGTCCATCGTGGACGCGTCCTGGGAGACGCTGGACCCCAGTCCTGATGTTAGAGCCATGTTTCTGGAGTTCAATGACGTATTCTTCTGGGGGAAACTCTGTGGTGTCGAGGTTAAGTGGAGCCCAAGAATGACACTGTAAGTACGACACCTGTTGTGTTATGATTCGTTGTGTTGTTATTGTTGTCGAAGACCAAAACCACACTGACTTGTAGGTGCAAAATAAAGTAGTTAGGTTTTTGTATTGGCTTTGGTGTAACCATCGGAGAGAAAGGGTTGTGTCACGGTTTAAGTAAACCAGTGCTGCTGGGTGCAAATGATTTATTTGAGGTTTATAAAAGGGCTGTTGGTCTCTAATGTCTCGTGCTCTTTCTATGCTTTTGTTTTTGTAGGTGTGCTGGTGTGTGCTCCTATGAGGGCCGAGGTGGTCTGTGTTCAATCCGACTCAGTGAGCCCCTGCTGAAGCTTAGACCAAGAAAAGACCTGGTGCAGGTGAGGTGGATTGTTACACCAATCTGGCTTTTTTTCAGAAGTGATTAGAAGTGATTTATCAAATTCCTCTATTTCAAATCTTCAATTTGCACACATTTGAATCATTTGCACCAAAATAGCCATCTTCTTCTGTTAAAGAAAATAAGATCAGATTAACACTATATATATACCACACAGTTTATCACTTACACTGGAAACTGCTTTTTATAAGGCTTGAAAGTTTACTGATAGTAGGATTAGAGGTTTAACAAACAAAACATTCAGAATACATAAACAGGCTATGAGGCAGGGTTGGTAATCTTGAGAAACTAGCAAGAGTACGCTAGAGTTAAAAACAAATGATCCAACCGAAAAAGCCAGTCCAGTGTTACCAACTCTAGCACTAGCTCCAAAAGTTCTAATAGAAAGTTGGCAACACCGACACCTTCAGGCCTCCATCCAAAACCACTCCCTCACAATTACCATAATAAAACCTATATAAACAATGAGCATTGCTATTGTTAGCATGCATTTGCTTCATTGATTACTGTCAGCATGTATGACAATGTCAACAAAAATATATAAAATGTTTTGAACAAGATTACCAACCCTGCCTTTAGTAAATAAACTCAATATTCCTCTGCATACATAAAAGAAACTCTTAATTTCAGACATTTTTTACTTTCAGCTCCCAAGTCTCGGATGTGTGTGTGTGGGTGTTGTGAAATAGAGCTGGAAATGCGAAGAAACAAAACACGTCGTTCCTCAGACAGATTTTAGTGGGTTTATAAATATTCATCATTTCATTTTTATTTTCACAGACCCTCCTCCATGAAATGATTCACGCGCTGCTGTTTGTGACCCAGAACAACAGAGACCGAGACGGTCATGGCCCTGAGTTCTGCAAACACATGAACCGGATCAACGATGCTAGTGGGACAAAGATTTCTGTAGGTGTATCTCCTGTTACACCTCTCACAGCTGGTGTTGTGTTCTCTTGTCACGGCCTTTTTACAGAGAGTGCAATAATAAAATAACCTCCTGAAACATCTCTTGTCAGGTCTACCACAGTTTCCACGATGAGGTTGATGTGTACCGGCAACACTGGTGGAAATGCAACGGGCCCTGTCAAAACCGCAAGCCCTATTTTGGGTTTGTGAAGAGGGCCATGAACCGGGCTCCGTCTGCTCAGGATCCCTGGTGGGAGGACCACAAGAGGACGTGCGGAGGGACCTACACCAAGGTGAAGGAGCCTGAAGGATACGGCAAGAAAGGCAAGAAGGATGGGAAGACCTCAGAGAAGAAGGCCTCGGGAAAAGAGAAGCCTTCAAGTACAACCACAGGTGATGAGCCCGTTCCTCTGGTGTATGTTCTGCTGTAATAGCTATAAATCCTTTCAGGCGGATAACAATGTTTTGATTTAGATAAATAGGTCACTACATGTTGTTTTAGAGAATCTGTTGCCGGACTCAAATGTCTACCTTTCTCCTTCTCAGGCTCTGGATCGCAGGACATCAGGAACATGATTCCATTTAGTGGCAAAGGCTTCCTACTCGGAGGAAATTCACAGTCGTCCACGTCCTCCTCCCCGTCTCACACAGCGGTAGTACCTTCTTCTCCGAAGAAACTCTTCACCCCTCCGACTCTGGCTAAAAGTCTCAAGTCTCCTGATAACAAAGGGATCTCTAGCGCCTTTCCCTCCATCAGACCAGCTCCCTCCAACAGGCCGAAGCCACCTATAAAGAGGTCTGTCGGTAACACAAGAGCTTTTATCAACATTAACGGCTCGCCAGTGAAAATCCCCAAACCCCACAGTAGCAGCCGGAGCCAAGAGGGAGATAAAATCAAACAGAGGTCCATTGAGGAGCTCTTCAACAGCAAAAGCATCAGGAGGTCAGCGAGTCAATCCTCCACCTCAAGCACAGAAACTAAAAGAGATTCTTTGACATCACCGAACATTACAATGAGTGCGTCTGCATCCTCCATCTTCCCGAAATGGCAAAATAGCCATTCAGCTTCCTCTCCCACAACATCTGAGCCTAGCGAGGGTAAACCCAACCATTCTGTAGTTTCAACAAAAACCAAAGGCAGCCCTGCTACACCAACACAGTCCAAGTATTTTAGTCATTCTGACAGCGACAGCACATCAGGAGCTTCTGCTGCAGGTCAGGCATCGAGGAAGAGGACGTGGGACGACCACAGGAGCTCATCCAGCATCATTGACTTCTTCCAAAAGACAGTAGGCAGCGATTCGGCAGCATCGAGGGAGTCGATGAAGACCAAATCGCCCGCAATGCAGCAAAGAACTGCCACGGCCTCCTCATCCTCGTCTTCCTCCTCCCTCCATTCCTCTGCAGGGCTGCCTAGTTTCCCCCCCCTCCTCTTCCTCGTCTTCCTCCTCCGCACTGACGGTCAGCTGTCCTGTGTGCCAAGCAAAGGTGGCGGAGTCAAAGATCAACGAGCATCTTGATTCCTGCCTCTCGTGAGTGAGGAGGAGCCGATCGGGACAGTGAGACGGATAAAACCAACTTTAGAAATGTCCAGAGAAGTTTCAGGGAAGTTTTAGTGATTTTTATCTGACGTTGAACCAATCTCCTTTTGAGTTTTCTCAATTTAACTTTGAGGTTATAGATATTTAAGTGAAATGGTTTCACTTTTGTTTTTGAAAAGTGTGGTTGGACACAGTTTTTACTACCTGACTGGATTGTTTTCTTTGTGGTTCTTCTCTCACGCGTGCCTCTCTGACAGTTTGTGTACCAAGGCTGTGCATGTGTGTAGAAATCGTAGCCTCCTGTGGGGGCGGATGTGTTGGCTGGTTCCTGTAGTCTGATGTGTCAAATCTAAATGTGCTGCCCTTCAGACAGCCGGAGACACTCACTGACCTCTGCTGATCTTTGGGAATCAGATTTCCAGCTTGCCAGCTCTTTGTATCTGCTCAACATCGCATTTACACTGCAGGGTCAGGCTGGTATCTGATTGTGCCAAGTCATTCAGTAATACTGATGGATGGATGGTTTGACTGTTTTTATTTTTAGGGAAAGGAATAAAGTACAAAATGCTAATTTTATAGCTACAACATTTTAGAGTTATATCTGTATGTTCCACTTTTACATATATGGTTTGAAGGAAATTGTTAAATATGCTAAAAATTTGTTGCCAAATAAAATATTTATACTGTTCGGAGTATTTTTTGTATGGAGCATAATTCATTCCAGTATCTAACAAACATCTCATGATAAAAGCTCAAACTATTCAAATGATAAATGAGCAGAACTCTGTGCTTCATCAGCTTTAAAGACTGTCAGTGTTGCCTCAAGCAGCCTCATCGTGTAGAGTCTTGGGAGAGGGAATCAAAAACCAACGACACCGCGGTGATCGCCCTGAACTGTTCACAGCAGAAGGAGTTGTACTGGAGAGGGGGGGGGGCAGGCAGAAAGTGGGTGTAACAGAGCTGGTGGGGGAGGGCAGAGGTCAGACAGCTGGAGGCCAGCTGCTGATCAGGACCACACCCTTCTGTCCGTGCAGGCGGAGCGAGGCCAGCACACACCCATCCCATTTCAATCACCACAGTTTGCTGCTGCACAGATCTCTGATTACCATTTGGCTGCACATGCATCACACTGTGAGGCGGAGAATAGATCCGGGAATGAAGGCATGTATTTACTCTGGTGTTTGAGGTGACAAAATGCAACGCTTAAAGAAGAAAAATGTCTTGTCTTGTTTTGTTATTTCCAACCTCAGGTGCTTGAATAAATAAGTCGTATTTACGACTTCTGCTCTTGGAACTCAATGGCTTACAAGTACTGAAAGCAAGAACAAGTCATATTCAACTTAATGTTCACCTGATGAAGGCTGACGGACCAAAAGGTTGTTAACAAAGTGAGCACAAGTGAGCCAACAGCGCACATGATTTTCTGCTTCTCACAGTCAAGAGTTTTTGATCCCACACAGCTGCTGATATGACTTGATGGCCTGGAAGAATGTGAAGTACCTCAAGATTACACTTTTACAGCACAGTGCAGTACTTGAGTAAATACTTTTCCACTGGCTTCTACACTCAAGTTGCAGGGGACCATGGTGAGCACTTGAAGGCAGCGCACACACCATGAACACACCATTGTAACGTTTTAGTTATATTGTTATTGTTGACATGGCTTCCACATAGGTTTGGTTTGTGATTGTATGCTATAAAACATAGCAGTATACTCCCATTGTCACTACTCTTACCTCATTCTGATCCCATTCCCTCCAGAGGCCCTTCAGGAGAGGAAAACTCATGTCAGTGACAGCAGCTGTTCCAACCGGACACTCCTCTTCCCTGACCTGCTGTGCGCTGACACGCTATAGGAAGCTGACCTCCTCCTAACACACACATATACACACACACACCCTCCCTCCTTCCCTACAGACCTATTGTGTCCCTCTGACAATGATGCATACCAGACTAGCTCCAAGTTCAATGCAATGTTGTCGGCTAGATGGGACTGAGGCACACTTTGGGGTAATTAGTTCTGGTAGAGGTGCCAGTTTTTCTCTGCAAAGATCATTTATCAACAAATAACGGTGCTTATGTTTTTTTATATATATATAGAGGTCAAAAATGAATTGTCTCTTGATATAAATTTTTTGTTGGAGCATTTATACTCTTTCTAGTATAAGATAAATCATTATACCACTTAATGATGGCATCGTCGTACCTTGCCATGTTCAGTGGACCTGCGGTTTCATCCATGATTTAAAGTGTGGTGGAAAACCTCAAATAACTTATTTAATATGGAACATATTCTATGCATTGGAGAAGTCTGGTGTCCGTTTGGGCCTACATGAGTAAGCTACTTACTGTATTTTTTTTGGCCTTGAGCAAGATATCGCTTTCCTGCAGAGACATAAGCGGATATCTTTAGACCATTATTAGCCGGCCAACGCTAAGTGATGCAAACCTGTGTGCTTTTCAACAAGGCAGATTAACACGAGCCTGCTATGGTATACATGCATCCCCAGGGGGTACCCTCATATGCCTAATCCTTTGATCTCATGAGGCAGTGGTGATGATGGTGGTGGTAGTGGTGGTGGTGGTGGTTGTGATGATCAAAGCTTAAAGATGGGTCCGTCTGCTCATAAAACCTACCTCTCTACACTGTGCAGCTGTGGACTCTCAGCTGATGGCTAATTGTTTTGAGAGCAGGATTAGGCTGTACAGTGGGGATGCTTTCTAAAGGGCGAATACAACATATGGTACTGTGTTGACTGATAGCATGGTATTAACCGTTAAAAAGTCACATTGTAAGTTGTTTATCCATCTCACAACACAGCTATTTAGCCGTATATGGAGTCATATTTTATATTTAACACTGAGCATTCCATTTATTTAAGGTGGATTTAAATACACATTTGAACCAATGATAACCATTGAGCCTCGAAATTGACAAAATTGAGTAAATGTGTAGAGGCGTAACTAAAGGTGTTTAACCTCAATGGAGCAAACAAGCTAAGTAACCAGCTAACTAGCTAACTAAACAGAAAACACTAATAAAAGCAGATAGCCACCTAGCTTACTTTACTGCCATGTTAATCATTCATATACATATATACTTTGCATCATGCTGCAGCATCATGGTAAGTCTTGTAGGCCTAACAGCAAGCTAATGCTAACAAAGTTAGGTAGCTACTGCTAACTAGAAATTCACAGACACTATGCCTCTATCGTCATATTATTCACTTCATCAAGGACCGCAATGGAAACTAGTGTTGGACTTTATGTGTTTTTCTTGACATTTTGTCTGTTTTTCCACCTAATATCAAAGAAATGACTCCAAGGAGTTGGCTAACTTTGTTAGTATTCACTTATAACTAGCATTAGCTGGCAACCTTTTGTTCATAACTGATTGGAGTTTTAAGGAAAGATAGAGATAAAGCTTTATATTTCTTTTTCACTTCATTATTAATACTTAACTGTTAATATTATTAAATTAATTTATATTTCTAGCTTGGCTCATGAGTTTTTTTTTTACATTTTGTCGGTTTGAGGGCTCCATAACAGCTGATCTTCTCATATCTCATATCTTCTCATCTTACTCCTAAGAAAGTAAGTGAATATACAATACATAAAATGTTGAACTATTCCTTTAATTAATTCAATGACAGCTTTAAAATCACCTTTTTTGACTAATACTTATACTAATACTAAGCTGTTGGGCCCGGTGCTTACAAGAAGCACACCATGTGCGTTTATGTCTTATCTGTCTGTAGGAAATGAGTCAGGTTAATTCATTTCAGTAGAGTGATTAGAAATACCAGGATTCAGGCGCCATCCATCTGCTGTGTGTGTGTGTGTGTGTGTGTGTGTGTGTGGTACAGCTCACACTCCTTTTGCAGAGGAGCGTGTGTGATGCTTTTGTGTGTTGATTTCAAGGTTATTGTTGTGTTATTGTTGTGACGGAGCTGCAGGCTGGGGGGGAAGTGAAGCCTACCATCTGTCCTTTATACTCAAAACTATTGTCCTGTGCCCACACACTCCCATCATGACCTCAAACCCTCGGTCTCTCTGCTGGGGGAAAGAGATCCATCAATGAGTTTTATTGTAGGCACTCAAACATACACAATGTTAAATTAAACCGATAGGCAGACATTTAGTTAGACCTATCATAAATTCCCTAGCTCATTCAATGAACTTGAATAAATTATGAATAAACAGCGTCTATTGATGATATTGTACATTTTATGTTTATCTGTGTTTATCTTTAACACTAGCTTTTCATTCACACTTAAATGTGTGAGTTTCTTCAGTTGATTAGTAATTAATCTAAAGAGAAAGTGTGTATTAATGTATCAGTATTTTAAAAGTGACAGCCAAAAGTCTTTTATTAACAAAAAACCTTGTCTCCTCTCTTGTCTAGATGGATTAAGATGATTGAAAAGACAGTTTTCCTGCCTGTAAGTGTTGTCATCGGCAGGGAGACGCCCAGCAGTCGCTGTGTGTTAAAAGGGCAGGAAGCGGATTTTACTACTCATCCACACAATCATCAAGTTAACAATAATAACTCATATCCACCGGAAATAAATTTCAAAATAAAAGCTATTAAGTAAACAACAGAATAGTCATGCAGTATATATGAACTAATTAACAAGTTATATACAGTACAATTACATTCAATATCGTCCAATTTCAAAAATTATATGAAACCAATCAAATTGTATAATATCATGAGTGGAAATGGTACATTAGTAAGATGGTGAAATAGTGAAAAATGGTCAAGTAATTAAAAGGTTTACATTGTGAAATGGGAAAAAAATGCATTCAGAAACCACGGGTTCTATTTTTAAAAAGTAATGTTCACCTGTGATGCTTTTATTTTTATCAACGTACCGGAAATCCAACTACTTAAATCCGGGTAACTTGATGTGGCGTCGCAGGCCGCCCTGGGCAGATAAAACCACGACTGTTGCTCGGCTTGCTTGGTGCGCAGACGGCTGTTTGTTCTCAGTGTTTACAGTATACAAGGACTCAACAGTCAACTTCAGTGTACATACTAACATCTTTTCGTAAAGTAACCCACAGGACGATGAATGGTAAGTCAACGAACGGTTCGGTGGGGGGAATGGCCTGTATCGAGGGTCTGCCCCCGCTGCCGAAGAGCCTGAGCGGCTTGCTGAACTCGAGCGGCGGCTCCTGGAGAGAAATGGAGAGGATGTACGTGAAGAAAGCCATGATCCAGGACGACCTGAGCCGAGGGAGGAACAACACCGACAACCTGCTGGCCCACAAGCCGGCCAACCTCGACGCTGCTCTGGCTCTCCTGCGGAAAGAGATGGTAACATTTCAGGGAGTGTTTTGTTGGAGAAAGAGAGTGCCCCCTATTTCACCCCCGTTTAATCTCTATGCGGCCAAATCCCCCATAGACGCGCTGCTACTTTGATGTTGCCTGGCCGTTGGGCAAAGTTACACACTGCTTTCTACATAACTTAAAGCTTAACTACTAGAGTTTCTGAATTAATTCGACTTTCATACATTTACCGTACATCGCAATACGTGATTAAAATATCAACTTTCAGGTACGGACGTCCTGTCTAACCGAACAAGCCCAAAATGACTCATTTTAGAGAATTGCATGTTTGCTGAGGTTATGTAAAGAACCTATTGATTCATAAAATGTATATTTTTTTTATATGCAAAGTCGTTTGTTTCGTTGAGCATATAAATAAAACGTGATTAAATAACCGCTACAAGAGGAACCATGATCAGGAACAGCTTGGTGCTGATTTTTAGTCAAAGCTCAATTTAATTAAGCTTCAGTATAAGAATATATTTTGTTATGAGTTTGCATACAATCTTGCAGTGAACATGTTGCTACACGGAATTTAAACCCTTGCTACACACTCTCTTACACTCTTGCCAGCTGCAGGGGTTTCATTACAGAACCAGACCTGATTTCAGCATCCATGTAGACTCCCTCCATGGCTTGTTGGTGGATACATAACAAAAGTCTGTTTCCTCACAGCCAGCAATTCAGATAAAAGAGGTCAAACTGTTGCTGAAACTCTATCCCTTTGCCATTTGGATGTTTGGTTTGCAGGCTTTACTAAATCCTATTTCTGCCTCCGTGCTTTACTCTCACTGCAGCACGTTCCCTGCTCGAGGCTTACTGCTTTGTTGCTGTAAATGTATTACTTTGAGGTTGTAGTTCACATTGTCTAATAAGTTGTCAATGTCCTACATGTGGTAAGCGCTCCAGTTTATGGAGCACGGTACTCTGGTTCAGCTGACTGACCTGCGTGTCTGTCCGTCTGTAGTTAGTGTGGAAGACAATGCAGTGACCCTCGGTTCATACTGCTTTGTCAGCTGAGTGGTCTGCAGTAGAAATGGCCCTTTCAACCCTGCCATTAGAGGGTTTTTTTGCCTTGAATTATTAATGTCGTAATGTCCGGTAGTGTTGCAGATAAGGATTATTTTACAAATGTATTCTTTCTATAATATTTATAGATTAATTCATCATTTGTAAAAACAAAAAAATGACCATCAGGCCTCACTTGTGTCTGGTAACGGTCCAAAAGCGGTCGAAAGATATTCAAATTACAAATGCATATAAAATGCAGCAAATTGTCACATTTAAGAGAGGCTGGAACCGGTCAGTGTTCGTCATTTTAACCTTTTTAAATAACTTAAACGAGTATTTGATTATCAAAAAAAGTCGATTTATTGCTTTTTTTGATTGACAGAAAAATCACCGGTAATTCTTTTGATAATTGATTGACTGGTAAAAGGTATGTATTTGCTGAATTTTATTTCTGCTGCATTTTCTCTTTTGGTTTTGGATAAAATAATGACAAAGAGAGAAGATCTCAAGAAAGTACGTCTAGCTTTTACTTTTGAAGCATTGTGGAAGAGCATAGTTTATGTTTAGCTCAGGTGTTTTTGGGACTTTGTGGTCATGCGTACAGAAGATTTCTGCATTTTGTGTCAGACCTGCACTGGACAAGTTTGCATTTGTCCTCTTGAATTTATAAGTATCTGTAGAATAACCGGCAAACACTGTATTCTAAAAGAAGGAAAAGGCCTTTAAAGTAGTAGCAACGACTCATTAGAAATGTATCTCGTATTAATCCGGCTCTTAATCCCGTTTTCTCCAGGTGGGTTTGCGTCAGCAGGACATGTCGCTGCTGTGCCAGCTGTGGTCGCTCCACGAGTCGATCCAGGACTACAAGGGCAGCTGCCAGGACCTGAGCGCCGCCACCAGCCTCGGCATGATGGACAACGTCTACTTCGATGAGGACGATGAGTATTACCCGGAGCCTGGCGCCACCCCCACCGGGGAACAGCCGGATGGAGAGGTTGGAGACGGGACGGCAACAATGGGAGCGTCCAAGAATGGGAGCGTCGGCAAAGACGACAGCTGGGACTCCTTTCACGTCACCATCTGAGGCCTCGTTTTCAGCGTTTTTCTGCAGATGGATACATGTTTCTGGGGTGGGGTGGGGGGGTGGGGGGGACTTGAGTCTCTGGAAACCGTTTGCTTTCCAAGAAGGAACTAGTTGGTTAGAGGTAGCCTTTATGGGATGCCGTTACCAGACTAGACTCCAGCTTTCAGTTCAGCTCCTCCTCAGGTGAAACAAACCCCTGCTTGTGCTGCAGAAGTGTTTTTTGTTGTTTTGTTTCTTTGCAGCGGGACCAGGAGCTTCATCAGACTTTGGAGCTGGGTGTTTTGACAGGCCGCTTGTTGACACCCTCTCAAACTCAGGAGTTGAGATGGATTGTAATCCAGGAAA